CCACCTCCCCTCCGGGGGGACACCCGGCTGTGCCCCCCCAGGGACCCCCCGTGTCACCCGGGGGGGGTCCCGGGAAGCCTCGAGCCCCCTCCCCGGCGCCGTCGCGCGGCGGGGTCAGGGCGGGACCCTCCCCACGGGGGGGGGGGAAAGATTGCCCCCGCACGGGTTGGGGGTCTCGGGACCCCCCCTCAGGGCCCCGACTCCTTCTTCCTCTTCTGGAATTTGCGGAATTTCCCCTGGATGGCGAGAGCCGCGCGCTCCGTCTCGGGCGCGCTCAGGTCGATGTCGATCTCCTCCTCCTCTTCCTCCTCCTTCTTGGGGTCGCCGGCCTTGGCTGCGGGGGGCAAAGTGGAGGGGGGGACAGGACAGGGGCTGCCCTGGGGACAACCTGGCACCCCCAAGGGACAGCCTGGCATCCCCAGAGTCACCCCGGGGAGCGCCAGGTACATCCAGGGGGGACATCGCCACCCCTCAAGGGACAGCCTGGCACCCCCAGAGTCACCCCGGGGACCACTGGGTACATCCAGAGGGGACACTGCCACCCCCCAGGGGACAGCCTGGCACCCCCAGAGGGTCACCCCCCAGCCCGGGGACAAGGGAAGGACAGAGCAGGTCCCCAAATCCATCCCGGTGCCCCCACCCCCCCCCTCACTGGCTGGACACAGACAATGGGGGCTCTGGGGACCGGGGGGGGGGTCCCGGGCGGGGACAGCGGTGACACGGGTGACACGGAGCACCCCGCGGGGCTCCCCACACGCGTGTCGGGGGGTCCTCACCTTCCTCCTGCCCGCCGGGGGCCTCTGCCGCCGAGGGGGGGTCATGGGGGCTGCGCTGCGGAGAGAAGGGGGGTCGGGGGGGTGACACCGGGGCTCCGCTGTCCCCAAGGTCCTCCCACTGTCCCCTGCGGTTCCCCCAACCTCCGGACCCCCCTCCCTCCGCGGGGTGCAGCATCCTGCCCCCAATTCCCATTCCCAGATGCTCAAAACAGCGGGAAAAGGGGGAAACTCCCTCGTTGTGGTTTGTTTGGACCTGGGTGAACCCCCCCGACCCCCCCACCTCGCTCATGTCCTCCCGGGCCGCTCTCGCTGTGCGGGACCCGCGCCCCCCACCCCGCTCCTTTTATAGGGGCGGGGCTGATTGACAGCCGAGCGCAGCCAATGGGGAGCGAGGGCGGGGCCAGGGACACGCCCTGCCCTTTTTGGGGGGGTCCCCCCCTTCCAGCCTCGACCCCT